TCTATCTATCTATCTATCTATCTATCTATCTATCTATCTATCTATCTATCTATCTATCATTGCAATAGCATTTAGAGTTATATACCGGTTCACAGTGCTTTACAGCTCTCTCTAAGCGGTTTATACAGAATCAGCCGATTGCCTCTAGCAATTTGGGTCCTCATTTTTACTCACCTCGGATGGACGGAAGGCTGAGTCAACCTTGAGCCTGGTGGGATTCGAACTATATTTTTTAGAAGCTGTATTTAACCACCATCTCCAAATGGGAAAGTGAAAAGGCAGACAGGAGAAGGGACATTGAAAAGCAGGGGCCACCCTTATCAAGAATTACTTTGCCAGAAAAGGCTTACCTGGGGCTGGGATCACCGTTTCAAGATGCGTCTGGTCAAGTTTGAGCTTATCCCCAGAATTGATCACTTTCACCACTGCTGTGTATTTGTCAATGACCTCCTGTCGCATCAATTACATGTGGATTAAAAGAAGAATTCATTGCTATTATTCTTAACATTGTCAGAAAGAAGTCACAGACGAGATCTATTGTACAAACACATGGAACCGGAAATCATGGTTTATTTCTACTTCATGATGGCTGCCCGAAACAAACAAGCCACATTATGCATGATTAGCATGTTGTGGAGAACCAGGTCATCATCATCATATTAAGCTAGGCAGGTCGTCCTCGGCTTATGACCACAATTGGATGTGTGGCACTTCTGCTGAGAAGCGATGGGGTGGTTAAGCAAGTAGTATTCAATTTTATGACCTTTTGCTGTGTTGTTAAGCAAATTATCATGGTTGTTTAAGTGAATCATGCAGTCATTATGTGAGTCAAGCTTTCCCAATTACTTAGCTTGTTGGAAGCCAACTGGAAAGGTCAAAATGGAGATCACATGACCCCACAATGCTGCACCTGTTGCAAAGGTAGTCCTCACCTTACGGCCACAATTGAGCTCAAAACTTCTGTTGTTAACGGAGACGTTTCTTAAGTGAGTTTTGCCCCATTTTACGACGTTTCTTGCCACAGCTATTAAGCGAATCCCTGCAGTTGATAAGCTAGCAACCTGATTGTTAAGCGAATCTGGCTTCCCTGTTGACTTTAACAGATAACAGAGTTGGAAGGGACCTTGTAGGTCATCTAGTCCATCCCCTGGCTGAAGCAGGAGACCCTAATACCATTTCTGACAGATGGGAATCCAATCTCTTCTTGAAAGCCTCAAGTGATGGCGCTCCCACAACTTCCGAGAGCAACTTCTGATCCGTGGGTTGATTGTTCTCACTGTCAGAAAAGTTTCTCCTTATTTCCAAGGTTGAATCTCTCCTTGTTCAGTTTCCATCCATGATTCCTTGTCTGGCCTACAGGTGCTTTAGAAAATAGCTTGACCCCTTCCTCCTCTCTGTGGCAGCCCCTCAAATATTGGAAGACTGCTATCCTGTTTCCCCTGGTCCTTCTCTTCCCTAGACTAGCCAGGCCCAGTTCCTGCAACTGTTCATTGAATGTTTTAGCCTCCAGTCCCCTAATCATCCTGGTTGCTCTTCTCTGCACTTTTTCTAGAGTCTCAACATCTTTTTTACAGTGTGGTGACCAAAACTGGATGCAGGACTCCAGGTGTGGTCTTACTAAGGCTTTATTGAGTGGTATTAGTACCTCCTTTGATCTCGATTGTATCCCTCTGTTAATGCAACTTAGGATTGCATTAGCTTTTTGCTTGTCAGAAGGTCACAAAAGGGGAATCACGTGACTCCGGGGACACTGCAACTGTCATAAGTACATGTCAGTTGCCAAGCATCTGAATCCTGATCGCATGATCTCCAAAAACGCTGCACAGGTCATCGCTGTGAAAAATGGTCCTAAATGCCGTTGTAACCTTGGACAATCAACTAAACGAATTGTTGTAAAACGAGGACTGCCTGTAAATACATGCTGACTGCCAAGGGCCCAATTTTTGATCACATGACCACGGGATGCCGCAACTGCCACAAGCGCAAGGACTCCTCGTAAGCCGAGGACTGTCTTTATCGTATTGTTGTTTTGGCTTTTCGAGTTGCCCGGATGTTTCGGTTGGCCAACCATGGTTAATCGGTTAAACCAGGGGTCTCCAAACTTGGCAACTTTAAGACTTGTGGACTTCAACTCCCCCTCGTCTGACTCTGCTGCTAGCTCTGCTGGCAGCCGACAGGCCACAACAAGGAGGGAGTTCTCTAGGGATCCTGGAGCACCAACGCTGGAGGCTTTTAAGAAGGGATTGGACAACCGTTTCTCTGAAATGATATGGGGTCTCCTGCTTGAGCAGTGGGTTGGACTAGATGACCTACAAGGTCCCTTCCAAAGCTGTTATTCAATTATTCTTCCTATCCTCCCATGGAGCGTTTTCGTTTACACCTGCTCCAAGCACCTGAAGCACTCGTCCCTCTCTGTGACCAACGTTTTTGGAAGGGCAGACAAAAGGCTCCGTACTCACCTTAACGACGGCTTTTCTTTTATAGTATTTCTCGCCAAGTTTCTTGGTTATGATTTTGACCACAATTTCCTAGAAAAGAGATCGGGGTTAATGACAGGCAAGTAGATCTCACTTCCTTTCTGCAGTTAATTCATTCTGCAATAGGATAAAATTAAATGCAATCATGACAAGCAATAATCATGACAGATTCCGGACAACCATTTGGATACTTACAGGTTGCAACCAGTAGTCCTTTCGGGCAGTCTTTTTCTTCTCTTCTTCAAACTAGGAGAATTATGAGAAAAAAAATAAATACAAGTATTAGTTCAATTTGGCTTGTAGGTGAGATCAACTAAAAATAATGTATCGTGCCCCTGTTGGAATCTGATTCCGAGGGAGAGGTGGAACAGCTGACAGTGAGTGGGAGTGTGGCTCCGGTGGCTGTGGAGGAAACTGGGGATAGGCAGAGTCCGGCTGGGCCTTCAGAGGAAGACCCAGGCCCATCCTCTCTTTATCCTAGGGCATGCAGGGTGGAACGGGTAAGGGAGCAACTGTGAGTTGCATGGTTTAAGGGGGGAGGAAAGGGCCCTGATCCCCTTCATTGGCTGCAGCTGGGGAGACTGTTTCAAAGGGCAAACTGCGCATGGCAAAGTTGCTGGCAGCAAAGCGTGAAATTATTCTGGTTTGTCAAGTCTTATCTGAGTTCTGGCATCCTATTTTGTTATCTTTTGACGTCTTCAATCCCTTATCCTGCCCTGTCTCATTAATTGCTGCAGCGTGGTTTGTGTTGGTTTTTATTTATAATTTATATGTACTCTGAGTTCAGATGGAATTTCTTCCCTTTGAAAACTGTTCTTAGAAGAGGTTTTTTTCCTCCAGCCGATGATAACTGGACACTGGGGGCCAAGTTGGAGGTATTAAAGGGACTTTACCTATTTTTGTGATTTTGTTGCTTTTGTGCCATGCCCCAGGTCATCACATAATGTCTGGAAGGTATCCTACCATAGTAAAAACTTTTACATAATGGATTTTGTGCCTTCCAGAAAAATCAAAAGGAACTGAAATATGGAGAGTATATTCTTAATGACAGAACAGAGTATAGAAAAATAACTTTATTGAATGTATACTAATCGGCATGCATTAAAATGAAATTTCATCACATGCAGCTCTCAAAGAATCACCGCCTCTGTTGTACATTACATGAGCATGACAAAATAAAGAAAGAAGTGCAAAATTATGTACATATAGAGATCCTCCCATTAACTAGACCGTGGAATTCTCACCTTGCTTGTCAGAATGTTGTAAAAAGGGATCCCATGACCTGGGGACACAGCGTTGATCTTAAGCATGAACCATCCTTCAAAAGGATGCCCAGAATTGGATACAAGGTTCAAGGTGAGATCCAACCAACATAGGCAATCGAATGATTACTAGCTAGTTGGCAATGTTCTAGTAAACCAATAAACTGGGAGTTAGGTTTTGGGATCCTCTTAATTTTGATCTTTGCCATTTTCTTAGGAGCAGAAGACACCCCACACCCAGGTGCCCAAATATGACTATTAGCCCTCCCTGCCTCCCACATGGGCACCTTGGCAAAACACGGAAAAACATTTGCTGCGGATAGAATAGTTTTAGCTCAGTATTGAACTGTGGAGTCCCATGTGCTCAGACACGGTTTTTGCTAGCTACAGTTGATGTTACCTAGTTGGGTCAAGAAAGGTCTGTGAGAAGACTACCAAGTTCAGAAAGCACCAAGGAGCCTACAGTCCTCCTTTCTCCTCCTCTCCATAAACCCCACTCCCATCTAGCACTGATGATGTTACCTAGCTGGGTGATGAAACGTCTACAAGAAGACAACCAAACTCAGAGGGTGCCAGTCCTCCTCCTCATCTCCACAAAACCCACTCCTACCTAGCCCTGATATTGTTACCTAGTTGGGTCATGAAGCATCGGCGAGAAAAAAAAAAACCAAACTAAGGGAGCACCAAGGACCCCCCAGATGTTCTCTGGTTATCTCACGTCCCCTGCCCGTTGTTCCTGCCTCATAATCATCACCAAGCAGAACGTATCAGTCACTGGATCTCCACCACACCTCTATGATCTCATCAAGGGCAGATCTTTTCTTCTTCTTCTCCTTAATTGGCTTTGACGTCGGAGGGATTTCTTTCCGCTTAACAGGGAGCAGCGCTCCTGATGGCTTCAGCACGCTGGAGAAAACAGAGCTGGATTAATAGTTGCGGGGAGCCTGTCCAGATTTGATAATGTGATTTTCCTTAGTCTCCTAAGGTGCTTTTTTTCCAAGAGGCAACTGGACTTTCTTGTCTTTTCTTTGAAGACATTTCGCTTCTCATCCAAGAAGCTTCTTCCGCTCTGACTGGATGGTGGGGAATAGAAGGATTGATGCTCCTTGCAGACAGCTGGTCATTTGCATCCTTTTAGAGGGTCGTTGAGGCAACCTGGAGGTTTATTTGTGTCCTCGGGGTCACTGGAGTGGTGCAAAGGGTTGTGGAACCTTCTTGGAACTGTCCATTTATGTCAGAAGAGACCATCTATGTCAAAATTGCCCTCTTTCAACGAAGGAGGAGGGACACCACCTATCTCCAGTCTACAACACAGCCCTTTCAACAGTTCCAAAAAGGTTCCGCACCCATTTGCACCACTCTGGTGACCCTGAGGGCACAGATAAAGCTCCAAGTGGCCTCAAGGACTCTCTAAAAAGGATGCAAATGACCAGCTGCCTGCAAGGAGTATAATTCCTTCCATTTCCCCACCATCAAGTCAGAGCGGAAGAAGTTTCTTGGATGAGAAGCGAAACGTCTTCAAAGAAAAACCAGAAAGCCCAGTGGCTTCTTGAAAAAAAAAACACCTTTGGGACAACCACGACCTGGAAGACTGAGATTCTCCACAGAGACTTAATCCCGTAGTATGGAAAGTGGCTTCAGGTTTCCTTCCCGATTCAAAGGATAACACGAATGCAGGGAGAGTCAAATTCTCTCCTTACCCTGTGTTTGGGGAAGGGAGGGAGAAGGGACAGGAAATTCCCAGAAGCAGCGCACCCGCCCGTTGAGGGTTTACAGGGAGTCCTCCATTTACAACAGTTCGTTTAGTGACTGACGTTACAACCAGCCGTAATACTTGCCTGGCTTTGGGTTGTTGTTGTGCTGCAGCGGCTGAAGTGCTCGCTCCTTTGTTCAAATTGAAGGTCACTAAAAGAGGGAAGGAAAAAAAAAAGATTGCTCATTTCTTTTGCAATACCTATAGGGTTTGTGGAAAGGAGCGGTGTGGTGGCCTAGAGGCGGAGCTCTCTGTAGAGTTGTAATTGCAGGAATGTTCCAATCTCGGATGGCAAACCTCAGATAAAGAATGTTTCCAAGCAAATACAACTCAGGTAAACAAAGTCACTAATCTAAAGGAGGATTAGAGAGGAAGTAAACGTATGTTAGACTTTAACTAGAGATAATTAATTGTATGGATTACTGTACGAAAGTTAAGCAGTAACCAAAGTTAACCAATGATGGAAGATAACTAAAAATGTATATAAATGCAAGACTATACTCCAATAAAGTTCATCATGATTCAGCTGTTCATGATCAAACAACTCGACTGCCTCGTCATTACAACAGCTCTCACCTCACAATCAGGAGGCTGTGAGTTGGATCCTGGACAGAGGCAGATACTTCTCTCTCTGGGCACAAGGAGGCTATATCTGCTGAACAAAACTCCGTACTGGCAACAGGTATGGCATCCGGCCAGTAAACCTTCTGCTAGCTCCATTCTGCTGCCCAGACCCCATACCGCAAGGGATTATGGCAGTCGTTAAAAATGATGAGGATGAGGATGCGGTTTGTGGACACAACGAAGAGGACTGTGGGGTCCTCGGTGCTCTCCGAGCCGGGTTACATCATCAGTGTGAGATGGGAGTGGGGTTTATAGAGACGAAGAGTCCATACATTCAAATAAAATAAACAATAATAACCAAAGGATCAATAGGGTGGATTCAAGGTACCCGGGATGCTTTAATAGCCATAATTTCTTAGACCACGGAAGCTGCATGGAGTCAAATAGGTTGTGGCAGAATAGAAAGGCAGCATTTGTTTAAGTATAGAAATCACATGAGGAAGTTTTTGTGCACCTGGCCTGAGAATTCTTCTTTGCCCATAAAGACTAGCAAATGCAGGATTACCCGTCCAAATAATCCCAGGTTGGAGGTTGATATTATTCTGCCTTTAATGTTTTTATAGATAAGTCAAGGCAGCCAACAAGCCTGATATTTCTTCATCTACCTATTTTCCCCACCACAACAATCACGCAAGGTAGATTGGGTGGAGAGAGGGACTGGCCATCCAGTTAGTTATCTTGCCTAAGGTGGAACTAGAACTCACTGTCTCCTGGTGATTGGCCTAAAGTCATCCAA